GTTTGAGTTTCAGGGCCCCCATTTAAAGTCGTGTAGACCTTGAGCAAGTAACCTAGCCTCTCTGTAACTCAGTTTCAACATCTGCAAACTGGGGATAATACCAGCACGTGCAGGATAAGTTGTAAAAATTAAATGAGTTAATACACACAGAGCATACTTCATACATAAATATATTTTGAAATTTGCCTGGCATATAATAAGCACTAAGAGTTGGCTTTGGCTGTTGTTAATATTGTTAGTATTTGTTGCCAGTAAGTTAAGTCAACTTTTAAGCTAATTTAAGGCGTAAAGGTGGAAAGACAAACCACTGGGCAAGAACCACACCCAAAGCACTCCGAAAAACTGGTCCTGTGAAGTTATGACTGCGGCCGCCAAGCACCAACCTCGTGATCTGCAATGCCAAGTCCTTGGATGCTGGACACCGCACCCTGCCACAGAAGAGCTGTCTCTCCTGCCACTGGAAACCGGATGCAGCTGCCACTGCTGCTGTGCCCTGGCCAGAACAGATTCTGCGTCATCCCTGCGGCTTTGAGTCACCAGCTCTTGAATCAAAGTCGAGAGAGGATGCATCTGCTTGGCTGCACCAGGTCCCAAGTTCCCAGATGTAAGAGAGGTCAAGAAAAGCAGCAGTGAGCACTTTTATCATATAGAGAAGGTAGATTCTACTTTGTAAGACAAGGTCAACACACTTAGCAAATGCATTCATCGAGCAACTAAAGAGAGAATAAATGACCCCTCTATGGTTTTAAAAATATAAATAAAGCCTGAATATATTTATATGCAAAGAAATAAAGGACTAAAAGGATATATCTTAAGTGTTAATGATTGTGAATTGACCATTAGGGCTGATTTGAAATTTTTTTAAAGATTTTATTTATTTATTTGACAGACAGAGAGAGAGAGAGAGAGAGAGCAAGCCCGGGGAGCAGCAGAGGGAGAGGGAGAAACAGACTCCCCACTGAGCAGGGAGCCTGATGTGGGGCTCGATCCCAGGACCCCAGGATAATGATCTGAGCCGAAGGCAGACGCTTAACTGACTGAGCCACCAACGTGCCCCAGCTGATTTGAATTTTTTATCTTCTGTCTCTGTAACTTTCCAAATCTTCTATGACATAGAAAAGACGTTTTTCTCTTTTAAAGCAAGACTAGGCAAAATCAGATCTCTATTTTGAAAGAGAATTAAGTACTTCTTAGATATGACCATGGGCTGGGAAGTGAAGGACTATGTTCAAATGGCCATTGTTAGCCGATAGCAGGCCTCTGCTACTCAAAATGTGGTGAACAGACCAACATCAGCTTGACTCAGAAGCATATTAGAAATGCAGAATCTCAGGCCACATTCCTGATCTACTTAAAGCAAAGAAGAGAATGAATCAAGAGATACTTTAGAAATATAAGCAAGAAGGGTTGACAACTGACAATGTGGAAAAACTCATAAACAATTACAAACCTTAGAAACACTTCCAAACTTGGAAGAAGGCAAAGCTATTAACAGAAATGGATGACTGGAACCAGTTTTAAAGGAAAAGAGATAAATGTAGTTGTAGATCTGTAAGGTTTGAGACCTTGAAAGGTGGCCAGATGGATATGCCCAGTCTGGGACATGCAGAACTGAAAGCCAATAAGAAATATCAAGATTGGGTTTACAAATTAAGAGTCATCTAAGAAAAGGAGCTAACAAAAGCCATAAAAGTGGTTAAGAATATGCAAAGCAAGAGAAGAAATCCAAGCAAGATCCTCTGGTGATACCTATATTTTGGAAACAGTGAGAAAGAGAAGCCAGAAAATGGGTTGCCAAAACTAAGATCATCAAGAGATTAGTGTCAAAGAAAGCAAAGGACAGACATTTCATTATTATTCAATTCTTTCCTCCTCTCCCGACAAACTAGGAGTGGTTTATACAGTTATACTTAGACTATAAACAGGACAGTGATGGATTCATCATCTTAATTCTTGAGATATAAAATGGCCAAAATATTAGGAGGGGGGTAGAAGAGGAAAACATTGATACCTTGGATGTCTCGTCATCAGAAAAGATCCAAAGTTTTCTGGCTTTTGAAAAAGTTTTGATGAAAATTTTACAATTTTTACCATGTTGCAAATCACATAAGGCCATATCTTATCTTTGTTTCATTCATTCATTTATTCATTCAGCAAACATTTATTGAACACTTACTATGAGGATACAGTAGTTAACAAAACAAACAAAACCCTTTGCCCTCATGGTGCTTCCATTCTGGAGGGGAGGCAGATAATGAACAGAAGAAACAAATAAACACATTGTATGTTAGACGGTGATAAGCATTATGGAAGGAAGGGTTGTAGGAGTGGGGTAAGAGGTGCAAGTTTAGAGGAGGCAAAAGGGAAGACGCCCCTGAAGAGATGAACAGACCTGAAGGAGGTGAGGAAGCTACTCCTGCAGATACCTGAGGGAAGCACATTCCAGGGCAAAGCTGAACTGAACCTTGTGTGGTCTAGGAGGCCAGTGTGGCTGGACGGAGGGAGTGAGGGGGTGGGCAGGAAAAGAGGACTGGGTAGGTAAAGGCCATCGGAGGTTTTTGAGGATATAAATGATATTATCGGACTTGGATTTTAACAGAATCATTCTGGCTGCTATTTTAAGAACATACTGACGTAGGAAAAGCAGATGGGTGGCTATTGTAAATACCCAGGCAAGAATAACAGTGACTTGGACCAGATACCTTTGACAGTTTTCTCTCTTTTCAGATAACTACCTTTTTATCCTTTTAATATATCATACTAAAGTGAGTGGGAGGAGGAAGGAGAGACTATGTATGTAGCAGAGAAAGGAATACAAATCTCTCAATTCTTCTAGTTACATAAATCTAGATATTTTCACATTTATCTTCAGCCACCCAGACCAAAATGTGTAAGCAACTTAAATACTCAAATTTTATGTAAATATTTAATATGTTTAAATAGTATGTTTGAATCCTCTATATTATTACAGCTTCAAGGAAATGTTTAAAAAAAACATTAAAAACCATTATCATCACCATGTCAATAAATTTATATTTAGGCCAAGGTAACAATAAAAGAACCTGATAATTTATTTTAAAGACATGAGCAATATTTTTGAAACACAGAGTCACTGAATAATGACTAGTTCTGAAAGGTGTAATTTTAAACCTTCCACTCTTTCAATGCTATAATTAAAACAAAAATGAAAGTGAGATCAGAGAGTACACACACAGACCTGGGTCACACTGGGACATGTAATTTGCTTTTTCTGTGGATATGAGACCAAAGGCTCCATTTATTTGCTAAAGATTTAAAAGGATAAACTGATTATTTCTTATTTTATTTTATTTTATTTTATTTTTTAAAGATTTTATTTATTTATTCGAGACAGAGAATGAGATAGAGCATGAGAGGGTCAGAGGGAGAAGCAGACTCCCCGCCGAGCAGGGAGCCCGATGCGGGACTCGATCCCGGGACTCCAGGATCATGACCTGAGCCGAAGGCAGTCGCTTAACCAACTGAGCCACCCAGGCGCCCCTGATTATTTCTTATTTTAAAATACAAAGGCAACTAAGTCAAGTTCAATATTGATTGAGAGAAAAGAGTTGTCAACACTATTAATATGACCCTGGCTCTGCAGTGGCTTACTGTTTACAAAGCACTTTCACTGCCATTATCTCATTTGAGCCTCACAAGAGACCCATTAATATCATTGTTCTTAATTTATAGACTCAGAGAGCTTCCGTGACTTACCCAAAGGCACTCAACTATCTAGCAAGTGCCAGAGCTGGGAATAGAACCCTAACTTCCCAGACTACAGCTCTTTGTACTATGTCAACCTGTGTTCTTTTCCAGATACAGAAATTTGGGAATGTTTTTCTCCTGCAGGAATTATCCTGGTCAGCAAGACCAAAGGTGGAGAGCAGCACCTTGGGTAAGGTACCAGGGTGGGAAGAGCAGTCTTACGGTAAATTCTGTCATCCTCATTTAATGTTAGAAAAAACAAGGAACAGAGCCTTGCTAAGTCAAACACTGGCTCTTCAATTACTCAGGGGCTGGTATCATTTGGGCTTACCTGGTCTTTTGCACTATTTCTATTTCCGTTACGGCTTGCTCGATCTCCTGGCCTGCTCTTTAACACCTCCACCAGAGGGCAGGCAGGGCAGGAAGAAGAGCATTGGTAACTGGTTTGCTCAAAAAGTTGGAAGAAAACTTAGGACATTATCTTAATTTAGATTTTTAGAGTCTTGCTAGATTTACTCATGCAAAATTTGCCGCTTTTCTCCTATGTGGACCTGGAATATTCAGTGCAGTAAAATGATTTCAGAACTAGAGAATAGAGGTTTGTTATACTTCTTTATATTTCCACTACTGGTTTTTCTAAATGATAAATGTTAAATGTTAAATCTTTAACAAATAGAACACTTAAAACCATTTGGGGAAATAGATGGGCAATGAACAAGAACAATTCACAGAAGAAGAAATGCAACTGGCAATGAACATGGAAAAATGTTCCACTTCACAGGCAATTAAAGAGATAATATTTGAAACAAGAAACTGCCATCCTTCATCTGTCAAATTAATCAATATTAAAAACGAAAATTATTGGTAAGGGTGTGGTGAGATGGGCATTTTCATATACTGTTAGTGGAAAAGTAAATCGGTACCATCTTTCTGGAGAGAAATCTAACCATTTAGACAGATTAAGCCTGGCAGAAGAAAATCAGAGTAATTTCCTACTACCCAAGCTGGAACTAAAATCTGGTGCTTTTTCCTCTAATCAAGTGAGCCCTTACATGGAGAATACAGACTTATGATACACGATAGAAAGAAAAACAAGCGTTGTGCCACCACCTCCCCGCCGCAGACTCAGTGAGAGGGAAAGAAGAGGGTCCCTACCCCAGGAGAGAGTAAGGGCTCTAACTCTTACCGCCCCAGGGAAGAGGCAGAGCTCTGGCAGTGGAGAGAACTGGGAGCATCTGAAAGCCTGTGGGTCTCCCAAGATCACAGGATTTGCCTCATCCCCACAGGAGAGAAAAATATTGCTTTCTGCAGGTTTCAGCGGCTGTAACACATCACACTGACCCACATCCTACCTATGCCAGGCTGTACTAGACAGACAGAGCCAGAGGGCTCTGACGTTTATGGGACTATTGAGTTATATTTGTATATCTTTTCCATAATGGTCAGGCATGCTTGCACTGGATCAGCCATGCACCCTCAATTACACTGCTATAAGACTTGCAGGTCAGGGGTGCCTGAGTGGCTCAGTCGGTTAAGCCTCTGCTTTTGGCTCAGGTCATGATCCCAGAGTCCTGGGATCGAGCCCCATGTCTGGCTCTTTGCTCAGCGGGAAGCCTGCTTCTCCCTCTGCCTGTAACATCCTCTGCGTTTGCACGCGCTCTCTCTCTGTCAAACAAATAAAATCTTAAAAACAAAGCAAACAAACAAACCAATTTAGGAATTGCCCCTAAATTCAAACTACTGGACTGTTAACAGACTTGCTCAATCTTGCTTATAACTTAACATCTACTAGCTCCAGCTAATTTAAGAGATAGCCTAATGGTGAAAAGGAGAGTCTCA